GTCTGCTTCCTGCTTGATTCCTGATTCTGCTTGATCCTGACTCTGAGTGAACTCCGCCTGTCCTGACCTCGGCTATTCCTGACCACTCTTCTGCTCTCTCCTGGTACCCTGTTTGCCCGTTTGCTACCGACCCGGCCTGCCCGACTACGTTGATTTGTATATATATGATTATCTGTTGGAGTTTGGGTTGTTTGCACTGTGTTATGTTTACCTTGCACTGCGTTTGTGTTGTTTAGTCTTTAATAAATTGTCTTGTTTACTCTATACCTGAAGCCTGCGTTTCCCTGTGTCAGTCCACACATTTCTGGTCATACCCGGATCCCTAACAGAAGTTGACGTGTGTGTTTGAGTATTCCATTTTTAGTTTGATTGATGGATGAAAAGTGTTGATCAATGAGAAAATTGTTTTAGGTTTTCTTCACCTTCTGTCCATATGATGAAAATATCATCAATATAGCGATAGTATCTGTATGGTTTTTGTTCCATGCTGTTCAGGAATGTTTCCTCCAGGTCAGCCATAAATAAATTGGCATATTGGGGTGCCATTTTACTTCCCATCGCAGTGCCCATACATTGAAGATAGATGTCTTTATTGAAAGTAAAGTAGTTGTGTGTAAGTATGAATTCAATGAGCTGTGTAACATCCTCAGCAGTGTATTTGTTGTTTGGTGAGGATGATAAGGATCTGTGACATGCAGCTAATCCATCCTTGTGAGGGATATTACTATACAGGGATGCTACATCCATAGTCACTAGAAGTGTATTAACGATAGTCTGCCGGGTTCACAGGACCTCCTTAAGATCAGGATAGATCAACCAGGTAAAGACTCCCTCCAGGTGAAGGCTTCCCTCCTCTGGATGCAGTATATATTGGAAGCTGTGTCTGCTGACCCCTCAATGAGGGGCAAAAAGTGGAAGAGTACCCATAGTGTAGTAGGTCAAAATTTTATTTGGTAACAAACTCAGTGCAGGGTAGGTCAGTAATGGTGCTGGCAAGTGGCAAAAAACACAAAGTGCAAGAAACAATGTTACTGACCCTAATAGTAGAGTGGCCACCAGACCTCCTCGTGGTCTGGGCGGCAATGAGGCGTCACAGGCTGTCAGTCAGGAGGAACGCCTCATTGCCGCCCAGACCACGAGGAGGTCTGGCGGCCACTCTATAATTAGGGTCAGTAACATTGTTTCTTGCACTTTGTGTTTTTTGGCACTTGCCAGCACCATTACTGACCTACCCTGCACTGAGTTTGTTACCAATAAAATTTTGACATACTACACTATGGGTACTCTTCCACTTTTTGCCCCTCATTGAGGGGTCAGCAGACACAGCTTCCAATATATACTACATCCAGAGGAGGGAAGCCTTCACCTAGAGGGAGTCTTTACCTGGTTGATCCATCCTGATCTTAAGGAGGTCCTGTGAGCCCAGCAGACTATCGTTTGATGACACCCCTTCCTGAGGGAGATCGACATCTGCAGAATCTAATACACACATGCGCATTTCCTATGCGCGGTCGGTGAGTGCGCATTTCTGCCATTTCTTCCGGATTCCTCATAGCTGTGCCTACTTCATTACTGTATCGATTAATTAACGAACGTTTGATAACGAATTTTAAAGATTGAACTTTTTAGATCGAACTTTCTGCTTGTTGTTTTTTAGCGCTGCACTTTATTTATTTATTTATACTTGAGGCGGTTGTGATCTCCTTTAGTGCTATCAGCTGCTTACTTTTACTGTTTTACAGGAGCGCTCACTATATTTTTTATATTTTATGACTAGAAGTGTATTAGATGGTAATTGCTGGATGTTGTTGATCTTGTTCAGAAAGTCAGTTGTGTCTTGTAGGAAACTAGCAGTACAAATTGTTTACCTATTTTGGCACTTAGCACTTTTTCACTTGATTTGGTTTTCATTTAGCATCGCAACTGTGGCATGTGAACACCGCCATCCACCAACATTACAAATTGGGGGGGCAGTAGGAGCACGCTAAAAATGTTGGCATCCCGTGTCTCTAGGGGCATTTTTAATGCCCCTAGAGACACGGGATAATTGAATGGGACTTTATATATGTAGACGGGAATAAAAGATAGAATATAAAGTACAGTTAAAATCAAACAAAATGTATTACAAAAAGGGAATCGTAAAAATGGTGCTATGCATGTCAAGCAATTGTGTTTAAAACCAATAGAGGAAACATAGCATAGCAATACTATTATACATGGTCTACGCGTTTCGATCCCGCTTCTTCAGGACCAACTATGCTGTTGTTACAGGAATATTCCATCATCATTGGTAGTAAGTGTGTACCCTACCATGGTACAGACAGCAGAACCAAGAGCACCCACCGCCTGTGGGAGGAGCCCAGGGAAAAAAACTCTCATATAGCCCAGATAGAAAATTAGATGGGGCAAATGTGTGTCTTCCAATTGACACGGAGTATATGATCAGAAAATGAAACGTCCATAACCTAAGTCTGAACAAGCGGGAGCTGGGAGGATTGGCTTTGGATCACATGATGGGTGTGAAAGCCTGCGATTGGCTAAACCTGTCCCTGTACTCTCTTCCTCCTTCTGATTGGAGAAAAAGATACATACATAGTATGTATCTGTTTCGAGACTAGTTTTCTATTACTCCAACAGATGACAGCACAAGGCTGCACTCACAGTCACAGGGAGCACCGACAGAAACTAAATACATTTTTTTTAAAATTTACTCTGACTTTTGACCCTGACACTGACCTTGATACTAACGTGCATTAAACCCTGATCTCAGTTCCAGATTTTTAAGGGGCACCTGCCCTGAGCCCCCTGACAGAAGGGCCCCACCCCTATATAAAAATATTTAAAAAAAATTATATAAATATAAAAATAAATAGTGCAAGGTGGTATCAAAACGTTTTGAGACTAGTTTTGTGACAGCACAAGGCTGCATGCACAGTCACAGGGAGCGCTGACCTTCATAAGTCAGTGTGCCAAAAGACACATCCTGTGGGAGCTGTGCAACTGGTGCTATTCTGACCATGTATGTTACCATGTCTGCCATTTTCATCATAGACAGCAAGTTAGAACAAAGAGGAAATGTGAAATTCTGCAGGAAACCCGTACACCTAATTTTCGTCACCAGTAATGATCCTCGACATGAAGGACGGGCCATCCACGGCATGCTGATGGGAGTTCTTGGCAGATGTTGACATGGCGTTCCTTCTGCTCCTGGGTCAGCAGCCTGGGGATGAACTTGGCAGCAACATGGCGCATGTTCAAATCACACGTGATTGCCTGGACTGTTCCGTATAACACAACAACAATGGCAGCAATGTTGAGGATTGTTCTCCGATGATTATCATGTACAAGTTGCTGAACGGTTTTGACATTTTCGGGGGTTGAGCTCGTTGAAGGTCTTCCTGATCTCTCATCGTCTTCCAGTGATGTTCTCCTGCTTTTGAAGCGCATGTGCCACTCAAAACACCTCAAATGACTCATTGCAACATTGGCATAAACTTGACAACTCATGTCAGACGTCTCTGTGGCAGATTTGCCCAGTTTCAGAGAATTTCACGTTTGCTCTTTGCTCTAACTTGCTGTAGATGATGAAATAGCAGACGTGGTAATGCACGTGGTCAGAATTGCACCAGTTGCACAGTTCTCGATGTACACAGGACAATGTCTTTTGGCACACTGAATTATGAAGGTCGTGGGGGGGGGGGGGGGGGGGGGGGGGGGGGGGGGGGGGGGGGGGGGGGGGGGGGGGGGGGGGGGGGAGGTCCCTGTGACTGTTCAGGAGCCTTGTGCTGCCATCTTTTCACTTGTTACAAAACTAGTCTCAAAATATTTTGATACCACCTTGCATTATTTATATATTTTTTAAAATATTTTTGTATGGGGGGCCCTACTGTCAGGGGGTTCAGGGCAGGTGCCCCTTATAAATCTGGGACCGAGATTAGGGCTTGATGTAGGTTAGTATCAAGGTCAGTGTCAGGGTCAAAAGTCAGGTTAATTAAAAAAAAAAAAAAAATTTAGTTTCTGTGTGTTTCAGTAGTATAAAAAAAACAAAAACACCAAAATGCACACTATAACACATATTTGGTATTTTCATGAATGGCAGGCGTAGGAGAAATCATTTTGAGCTTTTTTTTGCCTTAGGTCATGTAATTAAAAAAAAAAAAAAGTTTTATTTAAAATGATTTTTAAAATGAATATAAGTTATAACACATTCACATTCTCTCACAAATAGAAGGACAAGTTTTGGTTATACATATACTTTTAATATGTTTTTTTTTTATTTTCATCCAACTCAGTCACTCCTATCAGAATAATAGCTTCTTGAACAGACATGACACTAAGTGCGGGACAACGCAAGTCATTTTCAAAGGAATCACAGGGCATTCCTGTGCGGATTACATGCAAAATGTCTGTGCGGTGCGATTTGAGTCATACATTTTGTATGGTCAAATCGCATCCACACCAAAAAGGTGCAGGACCCTTTTTTTAAATCTGCACCTGAATCGCATTGCATGGGTGTTCTCGCTCGTGTGATTTTTAGCAATTGCATCGCGTTTTGTGATCTTTTCCAGGGCGTCATTAATTTATCATTGACACCCACACCAGATCGCAAGAACACTATGCGATTGCAGTGAAAACGCACAGGATTCACAGCGTTTCCCGCATTGCATTGGTGTGAATCCGGGCTTAGGTGTATTTCTAAAAAAAAATGCTGCATAGCGGTTCGCCCAGTGAATGTCCATGTACCGTACATTCGTTCTGTGCAAATGGGGCAAAAAAGCAAATGTTATGAGGCCATCTCCTGTGTTGATCGGAAGTTTTTCATGGATTTAAAATGCAAAACACGCATTTGGCTACTAGATGGAGCTAAGTACCATAGCCACTTGATGACCTGCGATCTGGTACCTTTTTCATAGGCTTTTTTGAGTTTGGGCAAGGACTCAAGGGCCCCATGATTCCCTATTGCCCAGGGGCCCCATGAGTTGTCAGTCTGCCCCTGCCAGCGATGTACCCTGTACTTCACTGGGCTTCAAGTGGTATATCGGGTCGTCATCCCGGTATTGCTTTTTTAAAGTGGACAGTCGACTTTTTTTGTAAAAAGCAAACCTAGCGGCCAATTAGCCACTGGATTGCTTTTAAAAAGGAGCGGGAGGGGACGTCCCCCACTCCCCCACCGCCTTACACGGCTCTCCCATCCCACCAAGAAACCCGAACGACCAGCCGATGCTTCCGCTAGCTGACCATAGAGGAAATCAAAGACCGGAACAGCTCTGATCACCTCTATGATATAGGAACCTGGAAACGAGGGGACGTCCCCCACTCTCCCACCGCCTTCCACGGCTCTCCCATCCCACCAAGAAACCCGAATGACCAGCTAGCGTTTCCGCCAGCTGACCATAGAGGAAATCAAAGACCGGAACAGCTCTGATCACCTCTATGATGATGGAACCTGGAAACGAGGGGACGTCCCCCACTCTCCCACCGCCTTCCTCTTCTCTCCCATCCCACCAAGAAACCCGAACGACCAGCCGGCGCTTCCACCAGCTGACCATAGAGGAAATCAAAGACCGGAACAGCTCTGATCACCTCTATGATATAGGAACCTGGAAACGAGGGGACGTCCCCCACTCTCCCACCGCCTTCCACGGCTCTCCCATCCCACCAAGAAATCCGAATGACCAGCTAGCGTTTCCGCCAGCTGACCATAGAGGAAATCAAAGACCGGAACAGCTCTGATCACCTCTATGATGATGGAACCTGGAAACGAGGGGACGTCCCCCACTCTCCCACCGCCTTCCTCTTCTCTCCCATCCCACCAAGAAACCCGAACGACCAGCCGGCGCTTCCACCAGCTGACCATAGAGGAAATCAAAGACCGGAACAGCTCTGATCACCTCTATGATATAGGAACCTGGAAACGAGGGGGATGTCCCCCACTCTCCCACGGCTCTCCCATCCCACCAAGAGACCCGAACAACCAGCCGGTGCTCCCGCCGGCTGACCATAGAGGAAATCAAAGACCGGAACAGCTCTGATCACCTCTATGATATAGGAACCTGGAAACGAGGGGATGTCCCCCACTCTCCCACGGCTCTCCCATCCCACCAAGAGACCCGAACAACCAGCCGGAGCTCCCGCCGGCTGACCATCGAGGAAATCAAAGACCGGAACAGCTCTGATCACCTCTATGATATAGGAATCTGGAAACGAGGGGACGTCCCCCACTCTCCCACCGCCTTCCACGGCTCTCCCATCCCACCAAGAAGCCCGAATGACCAGCTAGCGTTTCCGCCAGCTGACCATAGAGGAAATCAAAGACCGGAACAGCTCTGATCACCTCTATGATGATGGAACCTGGAAACGAGGGGGACGTCCCCCACTCTCCCACCGCCTTCCTCTTCTCTCCCATCCCACCAAGAAACCCGAACGACCAGCCGGCGCTTCCACCAGCTGACCATAGAGGAAATCAAAGACCGGAACAGCTCTGATCACCTCTATGATATAGGAACCTGGAAACGATAAGCATTCATCTCTTCTGGTTTTCCCGGATGTAAATGGCGCCATTTTTAAACTGAAAAAGAATCTGATCACAGCGATCTTGATTTAATCAGATGCCTTTAAGGGCAGAGGAGACATCTGGGGTCTAGTAGATCCCACATCTCTCCATAAAGAGGACCTGTCACTGCCTATTGCTATCATTGCGGATATTTATATTACCTGTAATAACAATAAAACTGATTAAGAAAGTGACAGTTTAAAAATAAATAAATAATAATGAAAACATTTAAAGCGCCCGAACACTTGTCGGTCCCGCACGCGCACAAACAGCGATCGTCCCGCACATGCGAACTAAATTTCGAAAGGCAGGGATTCCGCTTGTGTAAATCTAAACTGGTAACCCTGCTTTTAAGAGCGTCACCTACGGTTGTTAAATTTTACACTGCGTGTCGCCGTTGCACCAGTGTGCGCAATTTTAAAGCGTGAGATGAGTTTGGTTTCTGTTTACGTGGCGTAACATCATCTTTTCACTTTTTGTTATTTTATTATATTGTGTTTTCGTGCATTAAAAAAGAAAGAAAAAAAAAAACCTCTGATCAAATACCGTGTGGAAAAAAAAAAAAAATGTAACACCCACCATTTTATTCTGTAGGGCCCCTGCTTTAAAAAAAAAATAATAAAAAAGTTATAGTTTATATATGTATATATATAAATTTTTTTTTTTTATAATATATATATTGCTTGGGGCGCTGCTTAATTTTCTAGCACAAAAAAAAAAAAAAAGATTTTTTTTACATGTAAACAAAAAAGTGTCAGAAAAGGCCTGGCCAAGTGGATAGTGATTTTTGCTAGATGGGGCTAATGCAGGCCATAGATGGGTTGAACATCAGCCGATTTAAAAAAAAAAAAAAAAAAAAAAAAAAAAAAAAAAAAAAAAAAAAAAAAAAAAAAAATCGATCGTTACCACAACGCTACAAAAATAAAAAAAATAAAAAATCATCCGACTAAATTATAAAGTTCACCCCATAACTTCTGTCCCTTGCAGGTCACGGCTCATGCTTTTTTAAATCGATTTAAAATTCGATTTTTTAATCGATAAAATGATCGGCTGATTTGCCCATAAATTGCTGGGAAAATCGGCAGATCGTCAAAATTGGCCGCAAATTTTCCAATATGACCGAAAAAAAAATGTGCAAAAAACCTGAAAAACGGCCGACCAATTAACCCACTAACAATGCGAAAATCGGCTGATTTTTAAACCGTCTATGGCTGGCATAAGTATCTTAGTTATTTCATATGATGCTTGGTGCCATCTAGTGGACAAATGTGTATTTTCCATTTTAAAATCAATAAAAAGTGCAACCATTTGTCCCCTAGATGGCGCTAAGTATGAAATGACTGTGATACTTAGCGCCATCTAGTAGCCAAATGCGGTACTTTCCATTTTAAACCAATGGCAAACTTTTGACCAGCACATTTGTTTTTTTTTTACCCTGTTCACACATTTACTTTTACTGGGCAAATTGTTATGCAATTTAAAACACAAAAAAAAAACACACCCCTTAGTGAAATAATAAGAAATATATAACAAGCGTGGCTTTACTATGGATAGAACCAGGAGCGTCCAGGGACATGGTCCTCGTCGACTCCTACTGCTACAGCGTGAAGCATCGATCGCCCCCTGTGTATGTGGGGAAGCAAAAGCGTGGTTTTTACGCCCACGTGTGGAGCCGGGTGCAGGGGCGGACTAACCATTGGGGAACTCGGGCACTGCCCCAGGGCCTGGGGTCAGTAGGGGGCCCCATGAGATATCCCTGGTACCTTTCATAGGCTTTTTTGGGTGTGGTTTGAGTGCGAGCGAGGACACAGGGGCCCCATGATCCCCTATTGCCCGGGGGGCCCCATGAGTTGTCAGTCTGCCCCTGGCTGGGTGGCAGATGTGTCTGTGCTGAGAGTGCACCTACTGCATCCTCCCAGCACAGAGACTGAGCTGTGAAAGACAGCTCATGTTCCCTGCTATGGATCGGCAATGGCTCCCACTCACGATTGGTAGTTGGCGGGACTGACTCCCAATGGTCCCCAATGATCCTAATGGTCTCCGCTAGCGGGACCGGCATTCAATCATGTGACCAGCCAATTACAGTGGTCATGTGATCAGCGGATCTCCTCCCTTCCCTACCCAGATCTAATGTCTCAGTAAAGGGAACCTGTCACAGCAAAATACTATCACATGGGGGCATCATCTTTTGTACTCCTCTATGTGCTGCAAATAAAGAGAATTGTAAAAAAATAAAAAGAAAGTTAAAAAAAAAAAAAATTAAAAAAGTTACATATTTAAATTAGCATTTAACAAACATGGATGGTAATATCATGATACATGACATGATTTGGAACTACCAACATTTAATTCTCCAGGGTGTCTGCTTTCAGAAAATATAAGATGCGTACAGACCCAGAAACAGCGCAGGGATGGTGGGAACCCCTCATAAAGGGCATAGCGGGGTGTACAGACCCCGGAATTCAGCACAGGGATGGTGGGAACCCCTCATAATGGGCACAGCGGGTGTACAGACCCGGGAACTCAGCACAGGGACAGTGGGAACCCCTCATAATGGGTACAGCAGGTGTACAGACCCAGAAACTCAGCACAGGGATGGTGGGAACCCCTCATAAAGGGCATAGCGGGTGTACAGACCCAGAAACTCAGCACAGGGATGGTGGGAACCCCTCATAAAGGGCATAGCGGGTGTACAGACCTGGGAACTCAGCACAGGGATGGTGGGAACCCCTCATAATGGGCACAGCAGGTGTACAGACCTGGGAACTCAGCACAGGGATGGTGGGAACCCCTCATAATGGGCACAGCAGGTGTACAGACCTGGGAACTCAGAACAGGGATGGTGGGAACCCCTCATAATGGGCACAGCGGGTGTACACACCCAGGAACTCAGCGCAGGGATGGTGGGAACCCCTCATAATGGGCACAGCGGGTGTACAGACCCGGGAACTCAATGAAGGATTCTCATCAACAGGGTCCATGAAGGTTAGAATAAATTGTCTGTACCCAATAACTGATCCATGCATTCGGGGTGGAGTGACCCTTTAACAACGTCTGCCCCCCGTCACACGAGGGTGGGGGACTCCCTCCGGCAGAGTCGTTGTCACTCTCATTACCTCTAAATGGGAAACATTTCCTGTGATTTCAGGTTTCTATTTATTACATTCACAGCTGAGGGTGGTTCTGCTGATGAAATCCTCACTCCTCGGGCACCCCTGACCCCTCCACGTGTCATAGGTATAAAGAGGACCTGCTGGGCCCACATATCTGCACTAGGCATGGAGGAGGGGCTGTGCACCAGTCAGATACTCGGCAAGGGATTTTGGTATTTGCACAACTCCTCCCAAGAGCCAATCTACTGCTTCCATCATGCTTGCGGGCTCTTGAGAGGAGTACTGAGGCTGGGTGCTGTGATGTTTTCAGGAAGCTATGTACACCACTCTAACTGCTCCACCTACAAACCATGATCTGCCTGCATTGCATAGAGAAGCACAGAGACCCAGTGATGACATAAATAAGGTAGGCAATGAAAACAGATAGGTCTTATGTCAATAATGAATTAGCATGTTAATGGGGGGGGGGGAATGAGGAGTGGCCCCCTGACTCTGTCCACTGGGGGGGGGGGGGGAATGAGGAGTGGCCCCCTGACTCTGTCCACTGGGGGGGGGGGGGGGGGGGGGGGGAGAATGAGGAGTGGCCCCCTGACTCTGTCCACTGGGGGGGGGGGGGGGAGAATGAGGAGTGGCCCCCTGACTCTGTCCACTGGGGGGGGGGGGGGGAGAATGAGGAGTGGCCCCCTGACTCTGTCCATGGGGGGGGGGGGGGGGGGGGGAGAATGAGGAGAGGGCCCCCTGACTCTGTCCACTGGGGGGGGGGAGAATGAGGAGTGGCCCCCTGACTCTGTCCACTGGGGGGGGGGGAGAATGAGAGGAGTGGCCCCCTGACTCTGTCCACTGGGGGGGGGGGGAATGAAGAGAGATTGAGGAGTGGCCCCCTGACTCTGTCCACTGGGGGGGGGGGAGAATGAGGAGTGGCCCCCTGACTCTGTCCCACTGGGGGGGGGGGGGGGGAGAATGAGGAGTGGCCCCCTGACTCTGTCCACTGGGGGGGGGGGGGAGAATGAGGAGCGGCCCCCCTGACTCTGCCCACTGGGGGGGGGAATGAGGAGTGGCCCCCTGACTCTGCCCACTGGGGGGGGGGGGAATGAGGAGTGGCCCCCTGACTCTGCCCACTGGGGGGGGGGGGGGGGGAGGAGAATGAGGAGTGGAGCCCTGACTCTGTCCACTGGGGGGGGGGGGGAGAATGAGGAGTGGCCCCCTGACTCTGTCCACTGGGGGGGGGGGGAGGGGGAGAATGAGGATGGCCCCCTGACTCTGTCCACTGGGGAGGGGGAGAATGAGGAATGAGGGCCCCCTGACTCTGTCCACTGGGGGGGGGAGAATGAGGAGTGGGCCCCTGACTCTGTCCACTGGGGGGAATGAGGAGTGGGGGGGGGAATGAGGAGTGGCCCCCTGACTCTGTCCACTGGGGGGGGGGGGAGAATGAGGAGTGGCCCCCTGACTCTGTCCACTGGGGGGAAATGAGGAGTGGCCCCCTGACTCTGTCCACTGGGGGGAATGAGGAGTGGCCCCCTGACTCTGTCCACTGGGGGGGGGAATGAGGAGTGGCCCCCTGACTCTGTCCACTGGGGGGAATGAGGAGTGGCCCCTGACTCTGTCCACTGGGGGGAATGAGGAGTGGCCCCCTGACTCTGTCCACTGGGGGGGGGAATGAGGAGTGGCCCCCTGACTCTGTCCACTGGGGGGAATGAGGAGTGGCCCCCTGACTCTGTCCATGGGGGGGGGGGAATGAGGAGTGGCCCCCTGACTCTGTCCACTGGGGGGGGGGGGGGGGGGGAGAATGAGGAGTGGCCCCCTGACTCTGTCCACTGGGGGGGGGGGGGGGGAGAATGATGGAGTGGCCCCCTGACTCTGCCCACTGGGGGGGAGAATGAGGAGCGGCCCCCTGACTCTGCCCACTGGGGGGGGGGAATGAGGAGCGGCCCCCTGACTCTGCCCACTGGGGGGGGGGGGGAATGAGGAGCGGCCCCCTGACTCTGCCCACTGGGGGGGGGGGGGGAATGAGGAGCGGCCCCCTGACTCTGTCCACTGGGGGGGGGGGGGGGAGAATGAGGAGTGGCCCCCCTGACTCTGTCCACTGGGGGGGGGGGGGGGGGGGGAATGAGGAGTGGAGCCCTGACTCTGTCCACTGGGGGGGGGGGGGGGGAGAATGAGGAGTGGAGCCCTGACTCTGTCCACTGGGGGGGGGGGGGGGGGAATGAGGAGTGGCCCCCTGACTCTGTCCACTGGGGGGGGGGGGGGCCCCCTGACTCTGTCCACTGGGGGGAATGAGGAGTGGCCCCCTGACTCTGTCCACTGGGGGGAATGAGGAGTGGCCCCCTGACTCTGTCCACTGGGGGGAATGAGGAGTGGCCCCCTGACTCTGTCCACTGGGGGGGAATGAGGAGTGGCCCCCTGACTCTGTCCACTGGGGGGAATGAGGAGTGGCCCCCTGACTCTGTCCACTGGGGGGAATGAGGAGTGGCCCCCTGACTCTGTCCACTGGGGGGAATGAGGAGTGGCCCCCTGACTCTGTCCACTGGGGGGAATGAGGAGTGGCCCCTGACTCTGTCCACTGGGGGGGGGGGGGGGGGGGGAATGAGGAGTGGCCCCCTGACTCTGTCCACTGGGGGGGGGGGGGGGAATGAGGAGTGGCCCCCTGACTCTGTCCACTGGGGGGAATGAGGAGTGGCCCCCTGACTCTGTCCACTGGGGGGAATGAGGAGTGGCCCCCTGACTCTGTCCACTGGGGGGAATGAGGAGTGGCCCCCTGACTCTGTCCACTGGGGGGAATGAGGAGTGGCCCCCAGACTCTGTCCACTGGGGGGAATGAGGAGTGGCCCCCAGACTCTGTCCACTGGGGGGAATGAGGAGTGGCCCCCAGACTCTGTCCACTGGGGGGAATGAGGAGTGGCCCCCTGACTCTGTCCACTGGGGGGAATGAGGAGTGGCCCCCAGACTCTGTCCACTGGGGGGAATGAGGAGTGGCCCCCAGACTCTGTCCACTGGGGGGAATGAGGAGTGGCCCCCAGACTCTGTCCACTGGGGGGAATGAGGAGTGGCCCCTGACTCTGTCCACTGGGGGGAATGAGGAGTGGCCCCCAGACTCTGTCCACTGGGGGGGAATGAGGAGTGGCCCCCAGACTCTGTCCACTGGGGGGAATGAGGGAATGAGACTCTGACTGGGGGGTGGCCCCCAGACTCTGTCCACTGGGGGGAATGAGGAGTGGCCCCCAGACTCTGTCCACTGGGGGGAATGAGGAGTGGCCCCCAGACTCTGTCCACTGGGGGGAATGAGGAGTGGCCCCCAGACTCTTACCTGTGCTGCAGGCTGTGATATAGCAGAGGAGTCGGGTGAGCGGGATGAGTGCACAAAGTCTGGATCCCATCCTGATGGCTGAGGTGTTTCTGTTCTATCTCTAGCCTCTTCCAAAGCCCCCGTGGCCCCTACCCAGACCTCACATCCAGTCCAGGAGCCGTCCCGGGGATGGGAGCCCCGCTGTCCATGAGATGGGATCTGTCCTCCGCGCTGAACTATTACTCCGAGCGACCGGCCCAGAGCTGACCGCGAGTCCAACCCTCAGGGAGACGAGACCTGAGAAGAGACAACAATACTCACATTACTCTGTGCACCCCTTCCCTGCCAGGATACAATACTCACATTCCTCTGTGCACCCCTTCCCT